CACTGCCATGGCTCAAGGAATCCTGAGAGTTATAGTTTTGCAAGGCCTTCTCTGCCAAAGAATGATGATTCCTAGTCTCCAAAGTCCTAGGGTAGAATTAATGCACCTCTTTCAGCGCCATGTCTCAAATCAAACCTATAGAGCCCTGGGTGTTATAGTTTCCAAAGGTCTTGAGTTGAGAAATTCTTCCTAAGGTTCAGGATGGACTCTCTTTCCCTGTTATTTGAACCCATGGCTCCATAACATGGCCCTTGGGGTCTCTCCCAACTCTAGGATTCTAGGGTTCCTCTTTGTTTCCCCTCCCTGTCTGTTTTTCTCCCCCCTTCTTTGCTTTGCCTTGCTGGGTTGTGATAAAGATGATTCACACCGTTCTCTCTTTCTCTCTCTCTGTCTCTGTCTCTCTGTCTGTGTCTCTCTGTCTCTGTCTGCCTCTCCTCCTCCTCCTCTTCTGTCCAGCTAAGCTCATGAATGCCTACGTGGCCATGGCCAACGGGGGCCCCTGTTCTTCTCCCGCAGGTGAAATCGTGGTCAACATGGAGCCCGAGGTTCCCATCAAAAAGATGGAGACCATGGTCAAGCTGGAAGCGGTGAGTGGGAGGGAGGGCCTGGCCAACCACAACAGCCCACAGTCTCTTGTTGTTGTTGTTATGCACCCCTGGAAAGGAGAAGCTGAGAGTCAATTTGTGATGATGGTCGTGGTGGTGGAGATGAAGAACCCCCTGGAACAGAAAAGCTCAGAGTCAATAATGATGATGATTATGATGATGATGATGGTGGTGGTGGTAATGGTGATGCATCCCCAGAACAATAGATGAGGCGGACTTAAGTGTCCATGGAACAGAAAAGCTCAGAACCTAAGATGGTGATAATGATGATGATGATGATCATCATCATCATCATCATCATCATCATCATCATGACGACAATGAAGCATCCCTAGAAAAGAAAAGTTCAAGAGTCTGTATAGGATGGTGATGATGAAGAAGCATCCCTAGGACAGAATAGCTCAAAGTCTATTATTATTATTATTATTATTATTATTATTATTATTATTATTATTATTATGAAGTGTCCCCAAAACAGCTCAACGTCAATAGATGAGGAGGAGGAGGAGGAGGAGGAGGAAGAGTCCCCAGAACAGAAAACCAGAGACTATGATGATGTTAATGGTGATGATGATAATGATGAAGTACACATGGAACAGAAAAGCTCAGATTACTATTATTATTATTATTATTATTATTATTATTATTATTATTATTATGTGTCCCCAAGACAGAAAAGCTCAAAGTCAATAGATGAGGAGGAGGAGTCCCCTGAACTGACTGAAAAGCAGAGTCGATGATGATGATGATGATGATGATGATGATGATGATGATGTACACCTGGAACAGAAAAGCTCAGAGTCTATTATTATTATTATTATTATTATTATTATTATTATTATTAAGTGTCCCCAAGACAGAAAAGCTCAAAGTCAAGAGATGAGGAGGAGGAGGAGGAGTCCCCGGAACAGAAAAGCAGAGTCTAGGATAGTGATGATGATGATGATGATGATTAACAAGTACATCTGGAACAGAAAAGCTCAGAGTCTATTATTATTATTATTATTATTATTATTATTATTATTATTATTATTAGCTCGCAATCCTAAAACAGTAGGAATTACAATTTAAAACCTACAATATGTTAAAGTTAAAATTAAATTAAATATAGAATTGTTAAAACAAATAGAATTATTATTATTATTATTATCATCATCATCATGCTGCTTTTATTTTGACTGATATGCAAAGTGGATCACAACACGATCAAAAGGATACAATCCTGCCCAAAGTAGAAGAGAGACTCCTTTTTTGGAAATCCACACTACAGAGTGAATGCAACTTGGCACCATTTGAACCGCTTTGACTCAATGCAATGGATTCCTTGGAGTTGTCGATTGCACTCTTTGGCAGCGAAGGCTAAAGACCTTGGTAAACTACAATTCTCAGGATCCCATAGCACTCAGCCATGGCATTCAAAGTGGTGCCAAAGTGCATGCACTGTACGCTGTAGATGCGCCCACTGTCGGTCCTCCTGTATCTACAGATTATGTAACCATGGCAACCCAAAAAACTTCCAAACTTTTGTATTTAATGGATGGCATTTTGCAGCACCATTGAATATACTAGAACTTGAGCATGCATGGATTTGGGCGTCCACAACAAGCCCTGGAAGTAAATGACAGCAGATACCAAGACCCATCATGCCATTTTGGGAGTTAACAAATTCCAAATTGTTTGGAGGATTCTGGGAGTTGCAGTCCCCCAAATTAACTTTCCAAAAGCCTGGCTATACTGTAATTTGCAATAAAAGTAGCATACATTCATAGGCCAGATCTACACTGCCATATAATGAAGACTGCATTATATGGTCAGTATCGTTTGGCTCTCGTCTCTTTGTGGACTCTGGGGATCGTTTTCCAAAATGCTTATGTTGTCAAGTAGGCATATCGTTGTCCTGTCTCCCTGTCCGTGCTATGTTTGGCGCATTGCTAATGGCATCGTCCTTGTGGTTTTTTGCTAATTGTTGCTTGTTCTTCCCTGTTCCTTTCCCTGATGGCAGAACTCTGACGCCGTTGTGAAGGTGGACGTGGTAAGTGGCTGCTGGGCTTGGCTTGGTGTGATTGTGTCCTAAGGGTGCATCTACACTATGGAAAAAATGCAATTTGACACCACTTTGACTGCCATGGCTCAGGGCTATGGAATCCTGGGAGTTGTAGTTTTACAAAGTCTGTAGCCTTCTCTACCCAAGAGGGTTGGAGGCTCACAAAACTATGACATTGAGCTGTAGCAGTCTTACTGGCATCAAACTGCATTCATTCCACAGTGTAGGTTTTGCACTCCAGGACAGGAAAAGCCTTCTGACTTTAAACACAACACCATTGGATGGAAAACAATCCATTCATTGAAGATAATTAAAAAGCAATACGGTAAAAAATACTTTAAAGAAATAGGTAAATCCAATCAGGTAGGAAGATAAGCAGGAACAAAGTAGTCCAGGGTAATAGTCCAGCAAAGTCCATAAAAACAAAGGCAAAACTTCCCAAATAAAATGCAAAGAATCAGAAAACATAAACCCAAGCCATGAATATAGAGCATAAAATCCAAGGATCAAAACCATGAAACAAAGGCATTTAAAACATGAACTTCCCAAGCAAAACTTCCATGAACAAGAACGAGATCTTGACTTGATTCCAAATGATGTTTCATCTGACTACATATCCCGTACTTGGGACTTTTATCTCCTCGTTAGCTAAGTCTCTAGCATTCAGAAATTGGTTTCATTTTAACTGAACATTTCTTATCTTATTCTCTCGGAGCCTAGCAGACTGCTGAAGCCACTGTTCGGTTCTCCTGTTTTGACTAATCTCTTCGCATCTATTTGCTCATTTTCCATTTGCTCATTAATTTCTGCAGCTGGGCCAGGTGCTGAACTGTTTTCATGTTCCCTATCATGGGATCTCTCTGGTAACAATTCAGTAAGCACACCATCATCCTCACACCCCTCAGGGGCATTCTCATGGGAAACTACAATTTGAACAGGGATCTCATGGTCATTCTCTGCATCAAGATCACTGACCAAACCATTGCCATCTTGAACCTCATTGACATCACTCCCCACTTCCAAAGCACCCTGATCCTGGAACACAATCACAGGCTGAGCTCCAACAGTAGAAGCGCTCTTGAATACATTGATATCAACTGTCCTCTTCTCTGGAGAAGACTCTTGCCCAAGTCTAGATGAAACAGGCATCACTCTGTACCCATCTATTCAAAATGATTGAAGTTCTTTACAACTTACCAGCTAATTCATAGAGTTACTTTGAGTTACCTTCTGGTTATTTTGGCCCCAAACTCATGAGCAACATTATTATCTGGGTTGTTGTAGGTTTTTCAGGCCATGTTCTAGAAGCATTCTCTCCTGACGTTTCGCCTGCATCTAAGGCAAGCATCCTCAGAGGTTGTGAGGTCTAGACAGACACAGAGGCAATTTAACGTTCCAGCTTTCTGGCTTCATGAGGGTATGCTCGATTCCAGCCACAGGGGAGCTGTCGCTTCACCATCCACTTGTGACATCGAGTCCTTGATGGAGGACTTCCTCATTCTTACGCACACTGCTAGAGAGTTTTATGGTGTCGTAAATTAGTTAAATTAGCCTCCCCGCATAAGCGGTACCTAAATTTCCTACTTGACTGATGCAACTGTCTTTTGGGCTGCATAGGTCAACGGCAAACTAGACTATTAATGGTTGGGAGCTTATTCCAACCCGGGCTGGCTTTGAACTCATGAGCTCTTGGTCAGTAGTAATTTAATGCAGCTGGTTACTAACTAGCTGTGCCACAGCCCGGTCCTAGCAATCAGAATGCCTAGCAATGACAAGGAATCAGAAAAGCAAAGATATTGCATACATGACCAACCATGTTGTCCATTGTTTTGCAGTCGGAAGAAGAGAAGGAGAAAAAGAAGAAGAAGAAGAAAGGCATAGAAGAAATGGAGGAGGAAGAGCCTGACGAGAGCATGCTGGACTGGTGGTCCAAGTATTTTGCCTCCATTGAAACCATGAAGGAGGTAAGTGGCTCAGTGGTGATTGAATTTTGAAGGAACACCATATTAAATCCCAAATTGTGGCCTAGCAGCACCCTAAATATCACCCTGAAGATGAGAGGAGCTCTCCAAGGTGCTGGACCCAATGAGCAGGGAGGTTTCAGGACCACAGACAGCTCCATTGGAAATTGTCCCCAAATGTGGATTCTTTGTACCCAATTGTTATAGGAGTAACTACTCTTTCAAAGATGGTCAAAGTAAACATCTACTTGATCTTCTGACCTTTGTGGGGGTGTCTGTTGTATCAAACCTGTTGTGTTCAGGAGCTTTCCCTCAGTGAACAAAGGCTGGGTTTTTATTAAGCAAACAGGATGAGCCAAGACCAGATTTACTTGAATGGAAAACTAAAACCTTAAGTCTTTCAAAAGTCTGGCTAACAAAACGGAAGCACAGCACACAGCTGGAGTAACACAAATCAAGGTTGGAAAGTCCAATTAGTGTTAATGGCATGACAAAGTCAGTGCAAGAGCAAGAATAAGCAGTAGCCAAGTTTGACACCCCAAAGTCAGACTCTAAGAGTTGGTTTAGAATAATGTTCCAGAATTCGAGGGTAGAAACCACAGCCAGAGTTTCAAAAGTAAAGCCAGATATGCAGGAGCCACACACTGAAGTCCAAAAGTACAAACCGAAATTCAGGTCCATAAATCAAGTCAGGAAGTTAGTCCAAAATTCAGATTCCAAGCAGCAAAGTAAAAAAAGCACTTTAAAGAAATAGGTAAACCCAATTAGGTAAGAAGATAAGCAGGAACAAAATAGTCCAGGGTAAGATTTAGTAAAGTCCATGAAAACGAAGTCCACACTTCTCTAATATAACCCAGAAAACCAGGATACATTAATCCAAGGCATGAGTATGCAATCATAAAATCTAAGAGTCAAAACTATGAAACAAGAAATATTTAGCATGAATCTTCCAAACAAGGCTTCAATGAAACAAGGATGAGAACTTAACTTGATTCCAAACGATGCTTCATCTGGCTACATTTCCCATACTTGGGACTTTTATCCCCTCGTTAAGCTATCCCAAGCATTCAGAAATTGGTTTCGCTTTAATTGAGTCCCCTCAGCATGATAGGGCAGGATAAAAATAAAGTAGTAGTAGTAGTAGTAGTAGTTATTGTTGTTGTTATCTGACACAAAAACACAGTATATCATAGCAAACAAGATATATATGCTGGATTTCATATCACAAAATCACAAGTCAAACACTTCCGAAGCATCTAGGACTGTGTGCTGCTGCTGCTGCTGCTTATTATTATTATTATTATTATTATTATTAAAAAATAGTCCTTGTTTGGTTCTGGATTTTATGAATGGTTGTATTAGAAAATGCAAAACTGTATAATGGGACAATTTCTAAAATTGTACAGATGAGGTGGTTCAACTCCCATCAGCCCAAGACCTGGTCAGGCTCCAACTCTCATAAGTTGGGGTGTAAGTTCCATCATCCCAAGGTCATATAGTGAAGATATGAGGATATTGGGGATGAAGGCTGGGAAGTAGGAATGTAGGTGAACTACAGCTCCCATCATCCCATATCAAAGCTATCAGACCTCTCCAATCAGTCCCTTCTCTGAAGTGTTGCTTAACTGCAACTCAGCTCCGGTTGTCTTGGCTGGGCATGATGCAGTCCAACAAAACCCAAAAGTCTGAATATGGCCCATCTCAAGTCTTAAATATCCATAACTAAGTGAGTCCCCCTGCCAAAATAAATGAATAAAAAGATGCCCTACCCATCCTGTTTTGCAACTTTTCTTTTCTTTTCTCCCAGCTACTTTGGCAACAGGAGGCAGCTGCGGTGGAAGCAGAGGAGAAGGAAGAGATGGAGTTATCTGACGGTAATGTTTGGAAAGGTGGAAGGGATAGGAATTAAAGGGGAAGAGATGCTTCCTTTGGATCCGGGAAATGGCACAAACAAGGCTAGCTGTGGGATCCCGTAGAACGTTTCCCTTAGGTTCCTCTAGGACAAAGTTTGTGGGTTTCAGGAAAAGTTCAAGAACCTGGCTAGATCTTGACTTTGGGTGCAAACTTTGGAGCAGCACTAATATTTTTTAGTGAGTGCCTGGCCACATCCATGCCCTTCATGGTGGAGGGTTCCCTTCCTACCTCTCCTTTCCTTCCTCTCCATTGTCTGTCCTCTGCCTCTTGCTTTTGGGGTTCAGAATTCAGACTTGATGCCTCTCTCCTGAAAGGCTTGAAGGTCCAAGGGAAGACCAAGGAGAAAAACAAGGCGGCCAAAGAGGACAAGAAGAAGAAGCAGCAGCAGCTTCCTGATGTCCCCGAGAAGAAGAACAAGCAGAAAATCGACGAGTTGAAGGTGAGGACAGTATCATAGAGAGAGGGGGAATCGTTGATTTGGAAGGGGTCCCAAGAGCATGGGCAAACTTGGGCCCTCCCTCCAGGTGTTTTGGGCTTCAACTTCCACAATTCCTACTGGTAGGAATTATGGGTGTTTATTTATTTTATTTTTATTTACAGCATTTATATACCGCCTTTCTCACCCCTGGGGGGACTCAAGTTGGAAGTCCCAAAACACCCAAAGTTTTCCCACACCTGAGCTAACCCTTTTTGGCCCCTTGTTGCCCCAGGTGTTTCCTAAAGAGCTGGAGACGGAGTTTGACAACTTTGAGGACTGGCTGCACACTTTCAACCTTTTCCGGGGGAAGATCGGCGATGATGATGACAACTCAGCGGATGAGGACCGCATCGTGGGCCGCTTCAAGGTGGGTCCCGACCCGGTGGGAGTTTGCAACATTGGTTGCATCGAGAAGAGCAAAAGGCCACATCCGCACTGTAGAATCAGTACCGTTTGATGCCTCTTTAATTGCCATGGACAAATGCAATGGAATCCCGGGAGGTGTAGTTGAGCCAGGAGCAGTTCAAGTGTCTCCAGACTGCATTAATTCTACAGTGTAGGAGCACACAAAAAGCCAAAGAATTTATAGTATATCATGAATGTACTTATTTTACTTAGATGATCCCTTGTTGTCCGAGTAGAATTGTCTTCCAAGATCGGTGTCCTGGTGGTAGGTACGTAGGTGACTGTGGAGCCCTATTCTTGATCTGCATCTTCTCCTGCAGTGAGGGCATCAGTTTCCAGGTGGAAGGCGGTCTCAGTCAGGGTTGGCTTGACACGCCTTCCTTTTGGCACGTTTCTCTCTTTCACCCTCCATTCGTGCCTCCTCAAATTCTACAGCACTGCTGGTCACAGCTGACCTCCAGTTAGCGCGCTCGAGGGCCAGGGCTTCCCAATTCTCGGTGTCTATGCCAGAGTTTTTAAGGTTGGCTTTGAGGCCATCTTTAAATCTCTTTTCCTGTCCACCAACATTCCATTTTCTGTTCTTGAGTTCGGAGTAGAGCAACTGCTTTGGGAGATGGTGGTCGGGCATCCGGTTGGCACAAGCTGGAGCTAACAGCAGGAGCTCACCTAGCTTCCTGGATTTGAACCTCTGACCTTTTGGTATGCAAGTTCAGCCACTTGGAGCTTTAACCCACTGCGCCACTAGGGCTCCAATGTATTAATGGACCTGGTTTTTTGCTAAATTCCTGGATTATCTTGGATTGTGGATTGTTATTGTTTTGCTATTTTTAATTGCTTTGCCTACCTATATTCTACAATAAACTGCTTTCTGATTTTATCCAAGCCAGTGTGGTGTTTCAAGTCAGAGCTGTTCCTGCTCTGGAGTACGAAAGGTGTCTTGCTGCCAACTTGCATGTCTTTTTAAGCTTTGCAGTATTGCATAGTTAATCAATGCAAGTGGAAATGTTTGTTTAGGATTCTTTGTGCACTGACAAATGGGGGCCACAAGTCTCTTGGATCTGCAAAGGGAAGATTTAGTAAAGGCAGTCTTTGTGTTCATTCAACTCATTTTAACCACTTGCAAATTATATCCACTTTTCGCACCTCAGGGCTCGATGTGTGTCTACAAAGTCCCGCTCCCCGAGGACATCACCAAGGAAGCCGGTTACGACCCCAATTTTGGCATGTTCCAAGGCATCCCCAGCAATGACCCCATCAACGTCTTGGTCCGTGTCTACGTTGTGCGGGTGAGACCAAGAGAGATGTCATTTTCAAAGCCTCCCCTTGCTTGCACATTAGGAGACAAAGTCCTACATGTCGGACTCATCTACACTAGGCATTAGGCTTGGTAGATCCAAAAAAAATATATGGTTCAAAACACATTTCGGACGTAGGGGGCGCTGGTGGTTCAATTCGGAATTGAATTCCAATTTTTTCCAGAAAAAAATAGGAACTTTCCGAAATTTCCAAAATTTCCGAATTGCTTCATTAATGGCAGAGAGAGACCTTTTGGGGCCTTGGAAGCTGATTTCACAAGTTAGGTAAGGAGAGGCTTGAATGTATGGGATTTGTAGCGTCTTTTGTGGCAACTCACAGCAAACTAAGAAAAGAACAAACAGCCCTGAGACCTTTAAGAACTTGTTTTGGATGTAGGAGGCACTGGTGTTTCACTTCGGAATTGAATTCTGAATTTTTCCAAAAATGTTTTGGAATTTTTTGAATTTTCTGAAATTTCCGAATTGCTTCATTAATGGCAGAGAGAGACCTTTTGGGGCCTTGGAAGCTGATTTCACAACTTTGTGAAGGAGAGGCTTGAATGTGTGGGATTTGTAGTGTCTTTTGTGGCAACGCACAGCAAACTAAGAAAAGAACAAACAGCCTTGAGACCTTTGGGCCTTGGAAGCTGATTTCACAACTTTGTGAAGGAGAGGCTTGAATGTGTGGGATTTGTAGTGTGTTTTGTGGCAACGCACAGCAAACTAAGAAAAGAACGAACAGCCCTGTGATCTTTGGGCCTTGGGAGCTGATTTCACAACTTTGTGAAGGAGAGGCTTGAATGTGTGGGATTTGTAGTGTCTTTTGTGAAAACGCACAGCAAGCTAAGAAAAGAACAAAAAGCCCTGAGACCTTTGGGTCTTGGCAGCTGATTTCACAACTTTGTGAAGGAGAGGCTTGAAGGTATAGGATGTCAGGATTATTTAGTTATGCATGTGTGTTTTTCAATGTGCTTCTATGTAATTCAAGATGGATTAAGATGTATTTCAAGATGGATTCTATTCTGCTCTATTGTGTATTAGAAAATACTGTGCTGAGGCTGTGAAACTGTAACCTTGACAGAAATGAGATAACGTGTTCTCTGGCTGGGAAGAAGAGGGAGGATCCAGTCTCAGCCAGAAGTCAGATAAGCAGATGTTCAGAGACTGTTGTTTTTGCCTAGGAGTTCCTGTTTGTAGCTTGCTGTGAATAGACGTGTGTAGATGTACTTAGTAAAACTTAGTTTTATGTTGTAACTGAAAGCTTGCAGAGTCCTCATTTTGAACACAGTGTCTGCTGATCTAGCAATCCTTCCGCTGGCAAACGTCAATACTCTGACATGGGATTTGTAGTGTCTTTTGTGGCAATGCACAGCAAACCAAGGAACAAACAGAGCACAGAAAGACCTTTTAGCCTTGGAAGCTGATTTCACAACTTTAGGAAAGAGAGTTTGTGTTCAACGAGGGGCTTGAATTGATGGGAGATCTAGTTCTTTTGAGGCAATATGCAACAAACTAAGAAACACTGAGGCCAGGGAGACCCACTACAACACTGGGGCTTTTAAAGAGTGCTTTGAGTCCAAAATACCTGGAGGAGGGCTGAAGTTTGCCCATGTTAAGAGTGCTTTGGTTCCTCCGTGTTGCTTCTTCCAACCACACCATGCACCCACACACCTCAATACCCATGCGGTGCCCACCCCTCCCAAAACCCAACAGCAACAACACACAAGCAGCAAGACAGGCAGGCAGGCAACAGCCCTTCTCCTAGCCCTTCTCTGCTTACTTGCTCTTCTTCCAACCTCCCTTCAACACAGCCTCCCTTTCTCTTTCCCTTTCCCTTCTCCCTTCCCTGGCTCCGAATGAGCCTCTCGGCCATGTGCTCCCCTTTATATAGAGCCTTTCTCTTTCCCTTTCCCTTCTCCCTTCCCTTCCCAGGCTCCAAATGAGCCTCTCAGCCATGTGCTCCCCTTTATATAGAATAATGGCTGCCAAAATCCCTCCCCTCCCCAAAACTTCTCCCCTGATTGACTAAATGAAGCAAACATAACGAGTACAGCGGATCAAACCAATTAAAACACTAGATGCCAAAAACACTATATAATAATTGTGAGAGTTGAGTGTCGGCTTCCTTTTCCAGGCGACGGATTTGCACCCCGCGGACATCAACGGCAAAGCTGACCCCTACGTCGTCATTAAGCTGGGAAAGACAGACATCAAGGACAAGGAGAACTACATCTCCAAGCAGCTGAACCCGGTCTTTGGAAAGTAAGGGGACCCTGCAGAGAAAAGCCTTGGCCTTGACCGAAGCTGACTCCAGGGCTGTTCTGGCCAAATAGGCTTTTACACCATGGATGGGCAAACTTGGGTCCTCCAGGTGTTTTGGACTGCAGCTCCCACAATTGTGGGAGCTGCAGTCCAAAACAACTGGAGGAGGGCTGAAGTTTGCCCATGCCTCTCTTCCTCGACTTGCAGGTCCTTTGACATCGAAGCCACTTTCCCCATGGAGTCGATGCTGACGGTGGCCATCTACGACTGGGACTTGGTCGGATCGGACGACCTGATTGGCGAAACCAAGATCGACCTGGAGAACCGATACTACAGCAAGCACCGGGCCACTTGTGGTATCGCCCAGACCTATGCCATGTAAGGTGCCCCACTTACCCCCACCCCAAACTTTGGAGCTCAGCTTCCCAGTTCATAGAATCAGGCATTTGGAAGAGAACCCCAAAGGTCATCCAATCCAACCCCCTTCTTTCTGCCGACCAGGAAGACACAAATAAAGCACCCTCATCCAACCTCTTTTTAAAGACTTCCAGAAAACAAGACTTTGTGACACTCCCAGAAACACTACGTTCACTAGAGTTGGAAAGGACACCTAAAGGTCATCTAGTCCAATCCCTTTCTGGCCTCAGGAATACCTAATCCAAGCTGTCCAAACAGATGACCATCTAGCCTCTGGTTAAAAACCTCCTAGAGTTGAAAGTGACCTCCAAGAGCCACCCACTACCATGAAAGAACACACCATCCAAGCACTCCTGACAGATGGCCATCCAGCCACTTTCAGCGAAGGAGAATCCACCAGAATCCTAACATAGAGTTTATAAGGGAACCCCATAGGCCATCCTGTCCAAACCCCTGTCATGCAAGAACACATGCTCCAAGCTCTCCCAACAGATGTCCATCCATCCTCTCCTTAACATCTCCAGAGAAGAAGATTTCACAACATGCCCTGGCTATCTGTGTTCCACTTTAGTTGGAAGGGACCCCAAAGGTCATCTAGCCCCTTCTGCCATGCAGTTACTCAATATTTCCATGCTGTCTCCATGTCTTGACTGAGTTGAGATGGGCCACCATAGAGAATCATAACATAGATCAACCCAAGGGAAATGGAAAAGATCTGGGTGTGCCATCCAACTGGATGACCATCTCTCAGGAGGGCTTGGATGGTGTCTTCCTAGGTAGGAAAAAGGGGTTGGACTGGATGGCCTTTGGGGATCTTTTCCAACTCTTAAGACTTTTTTTTTAATTTTTAAAACTGTTTATTTTGATTATGGTACATAACAGAAAAACAAACCATGGCAAATCAAATATAATCAGGTACCAATATTTTGACGTGTACATGCCTATCTACCTTATTCAATCAATCAGTTAATTTTGATGTTATGTACAAATTATTATCAATTACATATCTTAATACACATAAACTTGCTATTTCTGGCTGTTTTCCACTGCTTTCAGTCAGAGCTTAATACTAAATTTTTTCATAACATTCAGGAAATCAGCACATGGCATTTTACACACATACCCCAGCCCTTACACTCAACCCAAAACCCCTATCCTGAACAAACTAAACCCTCATCCCCACACCCGTGCACCCTTCACCATGACTTCCCGCACCGAAACACTATGAAGCCTTTAAGCCTATTTATCTATCCTTATTCATGGTAAACCTAAATTCCTAATGGAGCTCCTCTATATTACTGACTCTCTATTCAGATATGCCATGGCCAACTTCAATTTTTCTAGAAAGTCCTCATAACTCTTATTCCTCCTGTTATAAGTTAGTCTGTCCATTAGCATATATTCTTGCATTCTTTCCCTCCAATCCTTTTTGGTTAGACCTTTTTCCCCTTTCCAATCTTTGGCTATGGTCAATCTTGCCGCTGCAAAGCTATATTGATATATTTCTTGGTCCTTTTGATTATTGTTTTCTCTCTGTAGACCTAGCAGACACAGTCCTGGGCTTTTTTTAATCTTGTTATGTAACATTTTATTTGTCTCCTTAATTACCTTATCCCAAAATTCCTGTATGATTACACAGGTCCACCACATGTGGAGAAATGTCCCTTTCTGTTTCCTGCACCTCCAGCAAATACCTTGTTGTGATTTGTCTATTTTAGCCAATGTAGCTGGAGTGATATAACATCTGTAAAACATTTTGTATTGATTCTCCCTAATTGAACCCGATAAAGTAAATTTGAATTCTTTGTTCCATAGGTATTCCCATTTGTCCAATTCTATTGGTCTGCCTAGGTCCTTGGCCCAGGATATCATTACTGTCTTGACTCTGTTGTCCTCCAAGTTATAACTTAGTATGTATTTATATAATCTAGAGATTAACCCTTTATCCCCCTTTTTCCATATTCTTTCCAATTCTGATTCTTTGGTTGCAAATCCAATCCTCAAGTCTTTTTTGTATCTTTCATGCAGTTGGTGATATCGAAACCAATCATTAATCTCCAATTCTTCCCGCCCTTTTAATTTCCACTTTTCATTTTCTCCAATAAGGTATTCTTTATATGTTCTTGTTTCTACCCTTAAGGTTGGTCTTGTGACTGCTTCTAGTGGCCTCAGCCAAAGGGGGTTTTTGGGTTCCATACCTTTTCTGTATTTTTTTCCAAATATCCAATTGTTGTTGTTGTTCATTCGTTCAGTCGTCTCCGACTCTTCGTGACCTCATGGACCAGCCCACGCCAGAGCTCCCTGTCGGCCGTCACCACCCCCAGCTCCTGCAAGGTCAGTCCAGTCACTTCAAGGATGCCATCCATCCATCTTGCCCTTGGTCGGCCCCTCTTCCTTTTACCTTCCACTTTCCCCAGCATAATTGTCTTCTCTAGGCTTTGCTGTCTCCTCATGATGTGGCCAAAGTACTTCAACTTTGTCTTTAATATCCTTCCCTCCAATGAGCAGTCGGGCTTTATTTCCTGGAGGATGGACTGGTTGGATCTTCTCGCAGTCCAAGGCACTCTCAGAAATTTCCTCCAACACCACAGTTCAAAAGCATCGATCTTCCTTCGCTCAGCCTTCCCTAAGGTCCAGCTCTCACATCCGTAGGTGACTACAGGGAATACCATGGCTTTGACTAGGCGGATCTTTGTTGTCAGTCTGATGTCTCTACTCTTTAATATCCAATAGTCCCCCTCTAATTATATGTTTATTAAAATCTTTGTTTAATTTATCTCCATTATACCACACGTATGCGTGCCAGCCGAATCGTAATCCAAATCCTTCCAAATCTAGTAGGGTCTTGTTTTCTAATTTTATCCATTCTTTCAGCCAGGACATTGCTGCAGCCTCATAATAGGTCCTTAAATCGGGTAAGCTTAGCCCCCCTCTTCCTTTATCATCAATTAAATTTTGGTATGCTATCCTGGCTCTTTTTCCAGCCCAAATAAAATTAGTAATCTCTCTTTTCCATTTCTCAAAGATTTTTGTTCCTTTAATAATAGGTATATTTTGAAACAGGAATAACATTTTGGGGACTACCATCATTTTTATTACTGCAATTCTGCCCATCCAAGTTAGAGGGATTGTTTGCCATCTAGTGAGATCTTTTTTTATGTCTTCCCATGTTCTAACATAATTATCCTGGAATAGATTGATATTTTTGTTTGAAAGCCATATTCCTAGATATTTTACTTTTGTTATCACCTCGCAGTCTGCTGCGGCCTCCAATTTCTTGCGACTTTTAACATCTATATTTTTTACTAAAAATTTAGATTTCTCCTTATTTATGATAAATCCTGATATGTCACCATATCTTTGGATTGTATCCAATAGTTTTTTAATACTTTGTAGTGGATTAGTTAGGATACAGACTATATCATCTGCGTAAGCCCTAATTTTTGTTCTTGGCCGCTGATCTTTAAACCGGTGATTTCTTTCTCTTCCCTTATCCTTACATTTAAGATTTCTAATCCCATAATAAACAGTAGTGGGGACAACGGACAGCCTTGTCTTGTCCCTTTTTGTATGTCAATGTAGTCTGATAGTTGACCATTTATTTTTAATCTTGCTCTTTGATTGGTGTATATTGCCCCTACTGCCCTTTTAAATTGGTGGCCAACTTCAAATTTTTCTAGCACTTTTTCCAAATAAACCCAACTAACATGGTCAAAAGCTTTTTCTGCGTCAATGAAGAACAATGCCAGATCTGCAAACACTTAGAAACAAATGCAGTCATCGCTAATAGTCAACATGGATTTATCAAAAACAAGTCATGCCAGACTAATCTGATCTCTTTTTTCGATAGAGTTACAAGCTGGGTAGATGCGGGGAATGCCGTGGATGTGGTGTACCTGGATTTCAGTAAGGCCTTCGACAAGGTCCCCCATGACCTTCTGGCAAGGAAACTAGTCCAATGTGGGCTAGGCAAAACTACGGTGAGGTGGATCTGTAATTGGTTAAGTGGACGAACACAGAGAGTGCTCACTAATGCTTCCTCTTCATCTTGGAAAGAAGTGACAAGTGGAGTGCCACAGGGTTCCGTCCTGGGCCCGGTCCTGTTCAACATCTTTATTAATGACTTAGATGAAGGGTTAGAAGGCATGATCATCAAGTTTGCAGACGACACCAAATTGGGAGGGATAGCCAATACTCCAGAGGACAGGAGCAGAATTCAAAACGATCGTGACAGATTAGAGAGATGGGCCAAAACTAACAAAATGAAGTTCAACAGTGACAAATGCAAGATACTCCACTTTGGCAGAAAAAATGAAATGCAAAGATACAGAATGGGTGACGCCTGGCTCGAGAGCAGTAGGTGTGAAAAAGATCTTGGAGTCCTCGTGGACAACAAGTTAAACATGAGCCAACAATGTGATGTGGCGGCAAAAAAAGCCAATGGGATTTTGGCCTGCATCAATAGGAGCATAGTGTCTAGATCTAAGGAAGTAATGCTACCCCACTATTCTGCTTTGGTTAGACCACATCTGGAATATTGTGTCCAATTCTGGGCACCACAATTCAAGAGAGATATTGACAAGCTGGAAGTGTCCAGAGGAGGGCGACTAAAATGATCAAGGTTCTGGAGAACAAGCCCTATGAGGAGCGGCTTAAAGAGCTGGGCATGTTTAGCCTGAAGAAGATAAGGATGAGAGGAGATATGATAGCCATGTATAAATATGTGAGAGGAAGCCACAGGGAGGAGGGAGCAAGCTTGTTTTCTGCTTCCTTGGAGCTAGGACGCGGAACAATGGCTTCAAACTACAAGAGAGGAGATTCCATCTGAACATGAGGAAGAACTTCCTGACTGTGAGAGCCGTTCAGCAGTGGAACTCTCTGCCCTGGAGTGTGGTGGAGGCTCCTTCTTTGGAAGCTTTTAAGCAGAGGCTGGATGGCCATCTGTCAGGGGTGATTTGAATGCAATATTCCTGCTTCTTGGCAGAATGGGGTTGGACTGGATGGCCCATGAGGTCTCTTCCAACTCTTTGATTCTATGATTCTATGATTCTATGATCTCTATTTGGGTCTTTGTCTGCTATTTCCAGGGTGTTCAATATCAGTCTGATGTTTTGATTTACTTGTCTTCCTGGGAGGAACCCCACTTGATCTTTATGTATTAACTGTGCCAATGCTTGCTTAATTCTGTTTGCCAATATAGTGGCGAATATTTTATAATCACAGTTCAGCAAAGATATTGGTCTGTAATTTTTAATTAAATCTAAATCTTTATCATGTTTGGGCACTAAAACAATTATGGATTCCTTCCATGACTCTGGGAGTTCCCCCTTTTTCATTACCGAGTTCATCACTGACACCAACAATGGGACCAGCTCTTCCTTAAATGTTTTATAATATAGAATTGAGAGTCCATCTGCCCCAGGGGACTTGTTTGCTTTAGCCAAATTTATTGTCCTAATTACTTCCTCTGGTGTGATTTCTCTATCTAAATCAGCTTTCATTGCTTCTGAAATTTGTTTTAAATTTGTCTCCTCTACATACTGCGAGATTGTCCTGATCTCCCCCTGAGTTCTTTTATATAGGTTTGCATAGTATTCTTCGAATAGTTTTTGTATCTGTTGTGAATCAGTGATAATTTCACCTTTATTTTTTATTCTCATTATCAATGGTTTTTTCTTTACATCTTTTATTTGCCAAGCTAATAATTTCCCTGGTTTGTTTGCGTTTTCAAAAAAGTTGCATCTATTAAACATCATTTTCCTTTCTATTTCACTGGCAATTAGCTGTTCATATTGTTGGTGCAGTTTTTTTAATTCTTGTAGTCTCATCTTTGTTCATTTTTTTTTCTATTTCTAATTCTTTTGTCCTAATTTTTGCCAACAACTCCAGTTGGGCCTTATTTTTTCCTTTGAACCAAATCGAGTTTTGTTGTATCAGTAACCCTCTAATTACTGCTTTTCCAGCCTCCCAAACTATTCCCTCCTTCATTCCTTCTTTAGAGTTGTCCTTTAAGTAATTAATAATTCCCATTCTAAGTTTCTCTCTATGTGACTTAATTTTCAAAATGTAATCATTCATTCTCCAAGCTCTGTTTCTTTTGTATCCCACTCTTAATTTCTTTAATATTGGGTTATGGTCGGCTAATACTCTAAGTAATAACTCGATTTTCTCGGTTTTCCCCACTAGTTCCTTAGTACCAAATATCAAGTCAATTCTTGAGGATGTGCCATGTCTATGTGAATAATATGAATACTTTTTTCTTGTTGGGTTGTGGACCCTCCAAATATCATAAAGTTCCCAATGCTGGATTTTCCTTAAGAAGGATCCTGGGAGTTTGCCTTCTAAGGGTTGGACTGGATGGCCTTTGGGGATCTTTTCCAACTCTTAAGACTTCTAATGTGGTGGAGGGTGGATGTCCATCTGTCAAGAGTGTTTTGATTGACCGGAGTTTGGGCTAGATGATGATGATGATGATGATGATGATGATTATTATTATTTTATCATCATCGTCATCGTTATTTAAGAGACCACATGGGCCATCTTGTCCAACCTCCAGTCAATCAAAGCACTCCCAACAGATGGCCATCCACCCTTCACCACATTAAAGGTCTTAAGAGACCACATGGGCCATCTAGTCCAACCTCCAGTCAATCAAAGCCCTCCCGACAGATAGCCATCCACCCTTCACTACATTATTTATTTATTTATTTGCTTTATTTCTATACCGCATTTTTTCAATCCTTAACAGGTGACTCAATGCGGTACATTAGAGGTCTTAAGAGTTGGAAAAGATCCCCGAAGGCACTGTTTATTTTATTTTGCTACTTTATGTATTTTGTTATGATGTAATTTTTCTGTTCTTTTGTATTTTATTTTCCTGAATTGTATGTTTTGGGCTCGGCCTCATGTTAGCTGCCCCGAGTCCCCTTCGGGGAGATGGTGGTGGGGTATAAATAATAATAATAATAATAATTATTATTATTATTATTATTATTATTGATTTGGGTGTGCCATCCAACTGGATGACCATCTCTCAGGAGGCCTTGGATGGCGTCTTCCTAGGTAGGAAAAAGAGGTTGGACTGGATAATAATAATAATAATAATAATATTATTATATTATTATTATGCACAAACATCCAGGTCTTCACCTTTGGACTGGATAAGAGGTTGGACTGGATATTATTATTATTATTATTATTATTATTATTATTATTATTATCCAGACCAACCCCTTTTTCCTACCTAGGAAGACACCACCCAAGCCCTCCTGAGAGATGGGTTCCGTCCTGGGCCCAGTCCTGTTCAACATCTTTATTAATGACTTAGATGAAGGGCTAGAAGGCGTGATCATCAAGTTTGCAGACGACACCAAATTGGGAGGGATAGCCAATACTCCAGAGGACAGGAGCAGGATTCAAAACGATCTTGACAGATTAGAGAGATGGGCCAAAACTAACAAAATGAAGTTCAACAGGGCCAAATGCAAGATACTCCACTTTGGCAGGAAAAACGAAATGCAAAGATACAAAATGGGGGACAATGCCTGGCTCGAGAGCAGGACGTGTGAAAAAGATCTTGGAGTCCTCGTGGACAACAAGTTAAACATGAGCCAACAATGTGATGTGGCGGCAAAAAAACAATGGGATTTTGGCCTGCATCAAGAGGAGCCTAGTGTCTAGATCTAGGGAAGTCATGCTCCCCATGTTCTATTCCGCTTTGGTTAGACCACACCTGGAATATTGTGTCCAATTCTGGGCACCACAATTCAAGAGAGATATTGACAAGCTGGAATGTGTCCAGAGGAGGGCGACTAAAATGATCAAGGGTCTGGAGAACAAGCCCTATGAGGAGCGGCTTAAGGAGCTGGGCATGTTTAGCCTGAAGAAGAGAAGGCTGAGAGGGGATATGATAGCCATGTATAAATATGTGAGAGAAGGCCACAGGGAGGAAGGAGCAAGCTTGTTTTCTGCTTCCCTGGAGACTAGGACACGGAACAATGGCTTCAAACTACAAGAGAGGAGATTCCATCTGAACATGAGGAAGAACTTCCTGACTGTGAGAGCCGTAGTGGAACTCTCTGCCCCGGAGTGTGGTGGAGGCTCCTTCTTTGGAAGCTTTTAAACAGAGGCTGGATGGCCATCTGTCAGGGGTGATTTGAATGCAATATTCCTGCTTCTTGGCAGGGGGTTGGACTGGATGGCCCATGAGGTTTCTTCCAACTCTTTGATTCTATGATTCTATTATTCTATGGTCATCCAGTTGAATGGCACACCCAAATGTTTTCCATTTCCTTTGGCTTGATCTAGGTCATGATTCTCATCTCAACTAATAATAATAATAATAATAATAATAATAATAATAATAATAATAGCAGCTGGGTGGCCAACTATTGGGAGGGCTTGGATGGAATCTTCCAGTGCAGCAAAAGGGGGTGTTTTCCAACTCTTTAAGATCTCTAATGTGGTGGAAGATTTGAAATGAGCTGTCAGTTAGGTTTGCACGATGTCTCTGGCGGGTTGGGGTAGGACTGGATGGCCTTTGGGGGTCCCTTCCAACTCTAAGACTCCATGGCACTTTCCGACCGCAACCCATTTCTTCCTGCAGCCACGGCTACAACATATGGCGGGACCCCCAGAAACCGAACCAGATCCTGTCCAAACTGTGCAAAGAGGGCAAAGTGGACGGGCCGCACTACGGACCGGGAGGCAGGGTGAAGGTCTGCAACCGGGTCTTCATGGGTCCCACCGACGTGGAGGACGAAAACGGTACGGCGGAAAAGACGAGAAGTGTTTGGTACAAAGCAATGTTTTAAAAATCAGGAGATGGCTAGTTCCAGATTCATTACAGTTCCTGAAGACCAGGCATGGGCCAACTTCGGCCCTCCCTCCAGGTGTTTTGGACTTCAACTCCCACAATTCCTAACAGCCGGTAGGCTGTTAGGAATTGTGGGAGTTGAAGTCCAAAACACCTGGAGGGAGGGCCGAAGTTGGCCCATGCCTGCTGAAGACCTTTTGCAATTACGTCTTTCTTTCCTTGTCTTTCCCTATATAACAAAATTATTAGTAATAATAATAATAATATTTTGTTGACACTGTCTGTATCCACAGGTCAGAAAAAACAGACCGACGAGCATTTGGCTCTCACAGTGCTCCACCATTGGGAAGAAATCCCTCGCGTTGGGTGCAAACTGGTGCCTGAACATGTGGAAACCCGGCCTTTGCTCAATCCGGACAAACCAGGAATCGAGCAGGTACCAGACAGTTGGAAGTGGTCCCCAAAGGCCATCTAGTCAAGCCTCCAGAGAAAGACCTCCCTAGAAGGAGATCCCAATGGACTCCCAGGCACTCTATATTTCACTATAGTTGGAAGGGATTCCCAAAGGCCAGAGTCTGACCCACTTCTGCTAGGCAGGAAGACACAATCCAAGCCATCCAGACAGATAGCCACCCAGGTACCAGATAGAATCATACAGTTGGAAGGGGTCCCCAAAGACCATCTAGTCAGTCCTCCAGAGAAAGACCTCCCTAGAAGGAGACCCCAATATATTCCCAGATGCAGGCGAAACGTCAGGAGAAATGCCTCTAGAACATGGCTCTATAGTCCGAAAAAACCCACAAGAACCTATTCCCAGATACTCTATATTTCACTATAGTTGGAAGGGATTCCCAAAGGCCAGAGTCTGACCCACTTCTTCTAGGCAGGAAGACACAATCCAAGCCATCCCCACAGATGGCCATCCAGCCTCTGTTTAAAAAGCTCCAAAGGTCCACCAACACTTCTGAGATTCAGGAAGTTCTTCCTAATGTTTAGATCAGTGTTTCTCAACCTTCATAATGCCGCGACCCCTTAATACAGTTCCTCATGTTGTGGTGACCCCCAACCAGAAAATTATCTTCGTTACTACTTCAGAACTGTCATTTTGCTCCTGTTATGAATTGTAATGTAAATATCTCACAAGCAGGATATATTTTCATTCACTGGGCCACATTTGTCACTAATACCCAATATGCCCAAATTTGAATACTGGTGGGATTGGGGGTGGGATTGATTTTGTCATTGGGGAGTTGTAGTTGCTAGGATTTATAGTTCACCTACCCATCAAAGAGCATTCTGAACTCCACCAACGATATAATTGAACCAAACCTGGCACACAGAACTCCCATGACCAACAGAAAATACTGGGTTTGGTGGGCATTGACCTTGAGTTTTAGAGTTGTAGTTCACCTATATCTAGAGAGTGCTGTGGACTCAAAAAATGATGGATTTGGACCAAACTTGGCACAAATACTCAATATGCCCAAATGTGAACTGGTGGAGTTTGGGGAAAATAGACCTTGACATTTGGGAATTGTAGTTACTGGGATTTATAGTTCACCTACCATCAAAGAGCATTCTGAACTTCACCAACGAGAGAATTGAACCAAACCTGGCACACAGAACTCCCATGACTAACAGAAAATACTGGAAGGATTTGGTGGGCATTGACCTTGAGTTTTAGAGTTGTAGTTCACCTACATCTAGAGAGTGCTGTGGACTCAAACAATGATGGATTTGGACCAAACTCTACACAAATACTCAATATGCCCAAATGTGATCACTGGTGGAGTTTGGGGGAAATAGACCTTGACATTTGGGAATTGTAGTTACTGGGATTTATAGTTCACCTACAATCAAAGAGCATAAACTTGGACCAAACTTCCCACACAGAACCCCCATGACCAACAGAAAATACTGTGTTTTCTGATGGCCTTTGGCGACGCCCAGGCACCCCCTCATGACCCCCGCAGGGGTCCCGACCCCGAGGTTGAGTAACACTGGTTTATAGACTCTTTTTTTCCTCTAGTGAATTGAATGTGGTGCTGCATTGCATCCCAGAACAGCAAGAAATCATCTCTCTCCCACCTCAATGTGACATCCTTCCAAATATATAAACATGGCTGTGATGTGTCCTTCTCTCAGCCTTCTCTTCTCCAAACTAAACATCCCCAGCTCCCTCAGCTGCTGTTTATAGGGCTTGACTTCCAAATCTTTCTCCATTTTGATGGCCCTTTTCTCCATTTTGATGACACCTTCCATCTAGTTCGTCCCCTCCTTGAATGGCTTTGCCCAGAACTGGACACAGGGTCATTATTCCAGGGGAAGGGTTCTGATCAGAGCAGAAGAGAGTTGGACTAAGGCCCCATCTACACTGGTATATGAAATCCAGATTATCTGCTTTGAACTGAATTTTATGGCAGTGTAGGCTCAGATAATCCAGATCAAATCAAATAATCTGGATTATCATCTTTGACGATCTGGGTTATATGGCAGTGTAGATCCATCCTAGGAATTTCCTTGATCCTAACACTATCCTCCTTTGGATACAGCCTTGGCTTTTTTAGCTGCCGCATCACACTGTTGACTCAGATTCAGTTTGCGGTTTCACTGAGGTCCCTTCTACACTGCCATATAATCCAGTTCAAAGCAGATAATCTGGATTTTATATGGCAGCGCAGAAGGGGCCTGAGACTCCTAGATCTCATCATTAGAGTCCAGACTAAAATATGGACCAGATCTGCTTTCCCGTAGACATAGGGCCAGATTTCAACTTCATTGAGAGGGGAGCAGGGGAAATATGGGGATGCATGAGTGGCCTGTAACGGAAATCTATTCCTTTCCTATATTGTAAAGGAATACCTTTACAATATAGTAAAGGTATTCCTTTACTGTCGTGTAAAGGAATACCTTTACGCGACAGGTTCTGTCGCGTAAAGGTATTCCTGTTTGTCGCACGCTGGGCCTGTAAAGAATTTCCTTTAGAACACGACGTGCAACCTTTGCCCAGCGGGAAGCCAGGGGGCCCAAGGAGAAGTTCTCAGAGGTTTTCCACCACAAATAGTCTTTAGAAGGCTTGTGAAGTACAACAAAGTCTATTATTAATGAACAATCAAACAGAAACTTCTCTTGTCTTCAATAAAGCTAAACAAATGCTTCCAGGCTTTTATGCAACTGGTGACTTCCTAATCTTGCCCACAAAGGACAGGCAACTGTCTTCAATAATTTCTTCTTTACTTTAAAGCAGTGTTCCTCAACCTTCCTAATGCCGTGACACCTTAATACAGTTCCTCATGTTGTGGTGACCCCCAACCATAACGTTATTTTCATTGCTACTTCATAACTGTCATTTTGCTACTGTTAGGAATCGTAATGTAAATATCTGATATCCAGGATGGATTTTCATTCACTGGACCAAATTTGGCACAAATACCAGATACGCCCAAATTTGAATATTGGTGGGGTTGGGGGGGGGGATTGATTTTGTCATTTGGGAGTTGTAGTTACTGGGATTTATAGTTCACCCACAATCAAAGAGCATTCTGAACCTCTCCAACAATCAAATTGAACCAAACTTGGCATGCAGAAATCCCGTGACTAACTGAAAATACAGGAAGGGTTTGGTGGGCATGGACCTTGAGTTTTGGAGTTGTAGTTCACCTACATCCAGAGAGCAGTGTGGACTCAAACTATGAAGGATCTGGATCAAATTTGGCACAGATATTCAATATGCCCAAATGTGAACACTGGTGAAGTCTGGGGAAAATTGGGAAAATTGTCATTTGGGAGTTGTAGTTGCTGAGATTTATAGTTCACCTACAATCAAAGAGCACCTACAATCAAAGAGCATTCCGATCCTCACCAATGATAGAATTGGGCCAAACTTCTGACAGAGAACTGTATTTTCTGCGTTTTCTGATGGTCTTTGGTGACCCCTCTGACACCCTCTCACGACCCCCCCAGGGGTCCCGACCCCCAGGTTGAGAAGCACTGCTTTAAAGGAAAACCCCCTTTTTAACTTCTCCCAGGCTGACTGTAATCTAACCCTTACTGATGTGGGCTCCGCTACCAGGTCGAACTGCATCTCAAAACACTGAGTGGACCTACCTGTAAAGGCTTAGATATTCTCCAGCTGGAGTTCTTTGGTCTTTAGGGCTGTTTTCCTGGAAATCTTTGGAGATTCTTAAGACTGTTCTCCCCCGTAAAGTCTTGGATGCTCTTAAGACTGTTTTTCCCTGGAAAGTCTTAAGGGTTGAAGCTTTTGTACAGGGGAAGCTAGCACACGTCCTGTACATGAGCTTTCCTTGCTGAGACTAACTAAAAATGGCTCCCTTCCCTTCCCAATGGCCCTGAGCAAGGGGCGGGACCAAAACTTAATGATGATGGACAGGAGACTTGCCTTATGACTGCAACCAAAGGAAGCCACCTATCTGCAGAATCCCAGGAACCTTGGACTGCAAGCAAACATTTAATACAAAGCAAATAAAATTGGAGCTCCTGGTACAGCCGTACCAGAACACCTCCAGTTTCCACTGGGAGGAGGGACCTTGATTAAATGAGGCTGAACTGGGATGGGGTTGTTGTTATTGTTGTTGTTGTTATAGTGGAGGAGACTCCAAGTGGGTTCCAATATTGGGGACTACTAACAGGGTCTTTTCCACCTTGCAGGGTCGGTTGGAGATGTGGGTAGACATGTTCCCCATGGACATGCCGGCCCCGGGGCCCGCCATCGACATCTCGCCCAGGAAGCCCAAGAAGTAATGGTTTGCATTGGGGCAGGGTGGGAACGGGGAAGGGGATCCCAGTGGGGGCTTGTAAAGGGGGGGCTTCATGTGGGTATGAGTCAAGAGTACAATCGAAGAGATGCGTAGGATAAGAGCCTAAGCATTACACTAGAATCATAGAATCCTAGAGTTAGAAGCATCCTGGTGGGCCACTCAGTCCAACCCCATAATGCCAAGAAGCAGGAAAATGGCATTCAAAGCACCCCCAACAGATGGCCATCCAGCCTCTGTTTAAAAGCTTCCAAAGAAGGAGCCTCCACCGCACTCCAGGGCAGAGAGTTCCACTGCTGAACAACTCTCACAGTCAGAAAGTTCTTCGTAATGTTCAGGTGGAATCTCCTTATGTAACATTTTTTTAAAAAAAATTACAGTGCATGGCCATTTTTCAGAAGCATTCTCTCCTGACGTTTCACCCACATCTATGGCAGGCATCCTCAGAGGTTGTGAGGTCTGCTGGAAACTAGGCAAGTGAGGTTTATTTATCTGTGGAATAATATCCAGGGTGGGAGAAAGAATTCTTGCTTGCTGGGAGATGTTAGCTGGCCCTGATTATTCTTGTCTGGAATTCCCCTGTTATTGTTTTGTTCTTTGAATTACCAACAAAGGATTCCCATGCAGTAACCAGCCAGGATTTGAAGCTACAAGACCATTAAATGCTAATCATTAAATGCTGATCAATTGCAACATTCACACTTGCCTCAAGCAGACAAGTTCTTTCTCCCAACCTGGACATTATTCCACAGATATATAAACTCCACTTTATATATCTGTGGAATAATGTCCAGGTTGGGAGAAAGAACTTGTCTGCTTGAGGCAAGTGTGAATGTTGCAATTGATCAGCATTTAATGATTCCACTTACCTAGTTTCCAACAGACCCAACAACCTGTGAGGATGTGGGTGAAATGTTAGGAGAGAATGCTTCTAGGAAATGGCCAGACAGCCCGGAAAACTCACAGCAACCTGGAAATGGGTATGTTTTAAAGGGGACTGCACTAGGAGTTGTAACTACAGATATGTGCCCACAAGGTGCAAAAAAATCCCTCTCAGGATCATATCCAAAACACATCCAAGGCTGAGGAATTGTGTTGGAAATGTGTCCTCCATTATGGGGTGAGGCTAATAGTGTTGGTGGCATCACAGACTGGGTGTCATCCAGTGCAGTAACTCATACCCTCACCCTATGAACCTCCTTTTGTGCCCAACCAGACCACAATATTTGTAGCTAAAATACCAAGAAAATTGGCAAAACCAGTGGCTGGTTTTACAAACAAAGGTATAATCAATGATTACGGTGATTAGGATTGTTATTGTTGTGTGCCTTTGAGTTGTTTTTGACATAGGGCCACCCGAAAGCAATGGTATCACAGAGTTTTGTTGGCACCATTCTAGCTTCTGTACTTTTGTGGTGTCTTCAGTGCTTTTCTCTATGGTTTCTCCACTGTCCCCAAAGTTACATTTGGGAGCGAATTGGGGGGGCTTCAGGTCAACAGAATGGACCACTTGAAGATAGGAGGAAGCCCTGTGTGTCAGGAAAATGGAGCTGAGGGTGACAGCGTGCTTTTGCTGCTTCGTCCTTGTGCAGACCACATCTGGGACACATGTTGTGCAGGCCTCCACTATATTTCCCAGTGACATTCTATGGCCGGCTTCTGGTTGAGGTTAAAATACATAACATTTTTGCAAATTGCCAAGCTTTTTTTCTTTGGTGGAGGAGTCCTGTACCACGAACCTCAATGAATGTGGAGGGCTAACTGTGTTGTCTTCCTAGGGCAGTGTTTCTCAACCTGAGGGTCGCGACCCCTGGGGGGATTGTGAGGGGCGTCAGAAGGGTCGCCAAAAACCATCAGAAAACACAGTATTTTCTGTTGTTCATGAGGGTTTTGTGTGGAAACTTTGGCCCAATTCTATCGTTCATGGGGTTCAGAATGCTCTTTGATTGCAGGTGAACTATGAATCCCAGCAACTACAACTCCCAAATGTCAAGGTCTATTTCCCCCAAACTCCACCAGTTGGGCATATTGAGTATTTGTGGCAAGGCTGGTCCAGATTTATCATTGTTTGAGTCCACAATGCTCTCTGGATGTAGGTGAACTACAGCTCCTAAACTCAAGGCCATAGAATCATAGAATCAAATCATAGAATCAAAGAGTTGGAAGAGACCTCATGGGCCATCCAGTCCAACCCCCTGCCAAGAAGGAGGAATATTGCATTTAAATCACCCCTGACAGATGGCCATCCAGCCTCTGTTTAAAAGCTTCCAAAGAAGGAGCCTCCACCACACTCCGGGGCAGAGAGTTCCACTGCTGAACGGCTCTCACAGTCAGGAAGTTCTTCCTCATGCTCAGATGGAATCTCCTTTCTTGTAGTTTGAAGCCATTGTTCCACGTCCTAGTCTCCAGGCTGTTTCAATTCCATCGTTGGTGGTTCAGAATGCTCTTTGATTGTAGGTGAACTATAAATCCCAGCAACTACAACTCCCAAAATGTCAAGGACTATTTTCCCCAAACTCCACCAGTGTTCACATTTGGGCATATTGAGTATTCATGCCAAGTTTGTCCAGATCCATCATTGTTTGAGTCCACAGTGCTCTCTGGATGTAGGTGAACTACAACTCCAAAACTCAAGGTCAACGCCCACCAAACCCTTCCAGTATTTTCTGTTGGTCATGGGAGTTCTGTGTGCCACGTTTGGGTCAATTCCATCATTGGTGGAGTTCAGAATGCTCTTTGATTGTAGGTTAACTATAAATCCCAGCAACTACAACTCCCAAATGACAAAATCCCCCCCCCCCATCAGCATTCAAATTTGGGTGTATTGGGTATTTGTGCCAAATGTGGTCCAGTGAATGAAAATCCATCCTGCATATGAGATATTTACATTGCGATTCACAACAGTAGCAAAATTACAATTATGAAGAAGCAATGAAAATGTTATGGTTGGGGGTCACCACAACATGAGGGATTGTAGTGAGGGGACCAACAGAAAAATACTGGGTTTGGTGGGCATTGACCTTGAGTTTTGGAGTTGTCGTTCACCTACATCCAGAGAGCACTGAGGATTCAAACAGTGATGGATCTGGACCAACTTGGCACAAATCTGCAATATGGCATTTGGAAGGTTGAGAAACACTCTCCTAGGAGATAACACTTTTTGAATTGAGTCCCCAATGCCGGCTGTAACTTTTCTTCTGACAGCAGCTCAGGACATAACAGCCTCCTTGTCATTGCTCAGACCTTCGCCAGGGAGGGAAGGGGCTTAGTGGGCAAGCTCCATTATTATGGGCAGACTTTTGCCCCCCGTTCCGATCCTTCCCGGTTCACCCCTTGTCTCCCTTCCTTCCTTCCTCCCTCCCTGCCAGATACGAGCTTAGAGTGATAGTGTGGAACACGGATGAGGTTGTCTTGGAGGATGATGATTACTTCACTGGCGAGAAATCCAGTGACATTTTTGTCCGGGGGTACGTACCTCTGGCGCCTCTCGGCCTCGAACTCTCTGTGTGAGCTTTGTGTGGTTTCCTGGCTCTGTGGTTTGAGCGCACCGCTTCATGGATGGAACGTCTCCATCCTTCTGGGCTTCAGTAACGGACACTGTGCTTTTCTGTCCCGCCTGTCTCTTTTTGTCCATGTCCTTCTTGTTCTTGTTGTTGTGTGCCTCTGCTTTGTGTGATGGCTAGGTATGAGCTGCGGGTAATAATTTGGAACACCGATGAGGTGGTCCTGGAGGACGATGCGTTCTTGACGGGAGAGAAGATGTCCGACATCTATGTCCGGGGGTAATTGACCGACATTTGCTGCACGCCCCGTTACCGCTTGGGGAGGCGAACGCATGGGGAACTTCCCCCCAGGTCTTTCATTCTCTCCTCTTCAGGGTGTGCCTGGGGCAAATCCATAGCTTACAGCAAGTCCAGGGCAGAGCCCAGGAGACAACTGGGGCCCATTCACACTACACAATTATGGCGCTTTCATAGCCATGGTTCCATCCAGTGAAACACTGGTGTTGGGTAGAAATCAAATTGTCAGGTATTTCTTCAACCTGAAGCAGAGTTTCTCTCGTCAAACCTCCAAGCAATATTAGAGTTCTGTTTATAGCAGGCACGGGCAAACTTAAGCCCTCCAGAGTAGACCTTGCTCTTTCCAGAGCACTCAGCTGCTCTGCTGTAGCTGGCTGCTGCACTGGGTTCTCTGTACATTCCGCATAGACTGATAAACTGCAACAACTCCCACCATTCCTAACATCCTCAGGCCCTTTCCTGAGGGGGAAAAGAAGGACCTGAGGCTGTTAGGAATGGTGGGAATTGAAGTCCAAAACACCTGGAGGTCTATGCGGAAGCTACCCAGTAGTCTTCCCAGCCCCAGCCCTCTAGTTGAATCACACAGAGTCAGAGTAAAAGGAAAAACAAAATTTACTCTTGAGTAGTCAGAGATAAATATGCAGCTTTACAAAATAACCAGCCTTGAAAATAAACTTAGTCCATTGCAGCAAAATAACTCACACAAAAGTCTAATGCATTAAAACCATGCATTCTCTGCTTCTTCACTGTTGCAAGGAGTCTTGTAGTCTCTTCCTGATCATCTGATCACCATCTCCATCTGAATACACCATGAAGCACTCCTCATGATATACTCCATTCAGGGAGTGGCTTAAGCTTAATTGCTTAATTGTCCAGGTGTTCTTCCTCAACACGCACCCATACAGGCAATGATCCTTGTAAAAACTTAGCATACATATGCACATTCTGTAATAAAAAACACCTGGAGGTCCAAAGTTTGCCCATGCCTTTGTGGTATGTGCAATGTTGTTGTTCATTAGTTCAGTTGTTTCCAACTCTTCGTGACCTCATGGACCAGCCACGCCAGAGCTCCCTGTTGGTCGTCACCACCCCCAGCTCCTTCAAGGTCAATCCAGTCACTTCAAGGATGCCATCCATCCATCTTGCCCTTGGTTGGCCCCTCTTCCTTTTTCCTTCCATTTTCCCCAGCATCATTGTCTTCTCTAAGCTTTCCTTTCTTCTCATGATGTGGCCAAAGTACTTCATCTTTGCCTCTACTATCCTCCCTCCAATGAGCAGTCAGGCTTTATTTCCTGAAGTATGGACTGGTTGGATCTTCTCGCAGTCCAAGGCACTCTCAGAACTTTCCTCCAACACCACAGTTCAAAAGCATCTATCTTCCTTCGCTCAGCCTTCCCTATGGTCCAGCTCTCACATCCGTAATAATATTGTTCATTCATTCGGTCGTTTCCGACTCTTCGTGACTTCATGGACCAGCTGACACCAGAGCTCCCTGTCGGCCGTCACCACCCCCAGCTCCTTCAAGGTCAATCCAGTCACTTCAAGGATGCCATCTATCCATCTTGCCCTTGGTTGGCCCCTCTTCCTTTTTCCTACTTCCCAGCATCATTGTCTTCTCTAAGCTTTACTTTATCTTGGCCTCTACTATCCTTCCCTCCAGTGAGCAGTCGGACTTTATTTCCTGAAGTATGCACTGGTTGGATCTTCTCGTGGTCCAAGGCATCCAATCAGTCCATACTTCAGGAAATAAAGCCCGACTGCTCATTGGAGGGAGGGATAGTAGAGGCAAAGATGAAGTCCTTTGGCCAACTTTCCTTCTGCATCACATTTCAAAAGCATCTATCTTCCTTCGCTCAGCTTTCCCTAAGGTCCAGCTCTCACATCCGTAGGTGACTCCAGGGAATACCATTGTTTTTACTTTGTTGTCAGTGTGATGTCTCTACTCTTCACTATCTTATCGAGATTCGACATTGCTCTCCTCCCAAGAAGTAAGTGTCTCCTGATTTCCTGGCTGCAGTCTGCATCTGCAGTAATCTAGTATGAGCAATACTTGCAATAAACTGCCAACCTTTCGATTGGTAAGATCAATAGCTGGTGATTAAGTCGCTGTGCTAAAGCCCGGCCCATAGCTACGCAGACAAAGTGCATCATAGTGGTAATCCTTATCTGAACAGAATGTATTAAGACTTTGCTTGATGGATCAGTATTTTCCAGAATCCGATACTATATGTTATCCATAGCTTCTGGATGTTTGCCATGGGCACACATAGCAGAGCTCAACAAACAATGCAGTCTGATGGGACATCAGTTGAACCTTTCTGGGATTTGTAGTTTAGCTACCAATTTGGTGTCATCCATACTCTTAATCAACATTTTCATCCATGACTTCCACTGCTCAAATAGTTGATTATGATCTTGATTCTGGGCCTAGGACAGAACCATTCCAAGGCACCCCACTGGCCACTCCTCTCCAGGATGAGGAGGAACCATTGAGAAGCATCTTTGGGTTCGACCTCTTATCCAGTTCGCAGTTCCCATTATCAGTAGCTTGAATGTCTTTTCCAAAGTGGGATGCACACATTTTTTTCGTTTTTTTGACTGGATGCCTTGCATGGCTCTACCTGTGCAGTAGATATGCCGAATCCCCTTTCCAAACTCTCATAATGCTGTGTTGAGATTAACTTCACAATTCAGCAGCAGATCAGTTGCACAACTTCAGCACTTTCCAGTAGCTTCTTCCTGCACAGTATTTTCAGTCAACTGCTCCCACAACCTGCAGTCACTCTGGAACTCTTTTACAGACACTTGAGCACATGCCCGGCCATTGTCAGTTTTACTATTGTTTTCCCCTCCAATCTAGATGACACTACAAACTTACCACAGCACACGGTTATATCTTGTCTTAGCAGACAGGTTATTTTAATCAATTACATAGAGCCTTCGACGAACAGCATCACAGCACAAGGAGAGAGTATACACTCTACATGACTTCCTTATATACAATTCTATACAATTACACATAGCAATCTCTGATTGGTTCCCAACTCATTAACTTAACTCAGACCCAGGATTACATCATTCACAATCACCTGGACTAGGCCAGAACACATTCCCCAAATGATTCCCTATATACAGTTAATGCATGACTCAGCATTTCCAATAGAAGCCTATTAGCAGTGCATGACTCAGCTATATTACATTACAATACATTGTAAAACCTGACATGTTGGTACCCCACAATGAAGCACAACATCAAAAACTTGTGACTAATTGTTATACACCAGACCAAGAACAGCTCTGACCTTAAACACCACACCCACTTGGTAAAATTAGCAAGCAGTTTATTGAAGAATATAAGTAGGCCAAGCAGTAAAATTAGCAAAAACATTCAAGTTCCAAAACAAAGGTTAGTTCATGAGCTTCGAGGCAAAACAAGATCTATAAGTATCGAAGTTCATGAAACAGGCACAAGAGTCCATGAAATAAGGCGGCATGAAAAATCCAATACATAAATCAAGAGCTTGGCAAAAACTTGGTACATGAAACTAAGAACACTTAAAAGCAAGACCATCACGAAATCCCAACATTGACTCAACTGAGGCAACTCTTTCCCATTAATATAAGGCTTTTCAAGAACCCCAAACTGAAAGCATTTCTCTTGACCTTACCATCAGATAAAGCAGTGGTTCTCAACCTGGGGCCCCCAGATGTTTTTTTGCCTTCAACTCCCAGAAATCCTAACAGCTGATAAACTGGCTGGGATTTCTGGGAGTTGTAGGCCAAAAACATCTGGGGACCCCAGGTTGAGAACCACTGAGATAAAGGTTTCTTATCTTTCTTTTCCTGGAAACAAACTGATCTTCTTTGCAGCCTCTCGCCTGAGCTTAACTCAGGCCCAGGCAAACCCTCATCCCCACTGCCAACAGACCCAGGCCCATCATCAGGAATATCATCCCCATTTCCATCATGAACATCAGACACAAGCACAGGCTGAAGAGGCTGACATACAATACTAATTTTAGGGAAATGCATTCCCTTTAATCTAGGGGACTGCCTCAGGGGTTGAATGCCACCTTCTCCAACTCCTTAGACTGGCAGTTCCCATGAGATTCCACTCTGGGATGTCAGGGCATTCGGGCAGCTTCCTGCCCAAGAATTAACATTCCAAACTGTCCCGAACCAAAGGATGCCCCACTCTTCTGTCCAGTCTAAGCTATGCATTTGCCCGGGATGGGGAGGGTTGGTCTCTGCAAAGGGGCTGAAGGAGCGTGGTTCCCTGACCAGGTAAGGTGGAGGATGTGGGTCCGGTTATCTTCTCCCTGCCGTGAATGAGGCATGCTCTGACCTGCTACTTTATTGCATGTTCTTCTAACTTCAGTTTATATTTGGAAAGTGTTGTGTCCTGTTTCTTGGCCAAGGCAGCTGTGCTTGGCTCTGTTTGTGTGCTTTCCACTGCATGCTTCTGGAAGGGGCGGGTGCAAGCTGTTATTATTATTATTATTATTATTATTATTATTATTATTATTATTATTTTCATCCACTCTGGGCCCATAACCCGAAGGAATATTTGATAGAATGCAGCACAGCTAGTGCTATATTACGAGTTTATGGTAGGAAACAGGAAAAGAAATACATAAGTTGCTCTAATAAGGTTAAAAAAGGTTAAAAAAAAACCCTTTTATTTTGCAGGTCATACATCTCAGATAAAAGAGTAGATAGTGATCTAACTTTGTTAGAAGAGTCTCTAATGCTGACTCTCACTCTGTGTTCAAGATATCTTAAGGCAGAGAACATTTTTGAAGCTCCCTTTCAAACAAAAGCATTTTTGGAAGAAAGAAAAAGTAACCTCTCAATGCAGGCAGGGAGCAAAAACACCTTGAGTTACATAGACCTAGGAAACAGAGGTGTAAACAAGACAGTAGGTATGTCCCACAAGGTTCCCTCCTATAGACAATGTGGCTGTTTCTTCACAGCCAACTCCTAGCCCTTCTTTCCCGAATGCCCACTTGCACTACCTTCTTGCAAGGAAGCCTTCTCCTCTGCCAGATGTCCACAACTCCCATTGCATTGGCCTCCTGCATGAACCCAATCCTTGCACAGAGGGTCCAGGTGGCCCTCCTTTGCTTGGTCAACCGACCCTCTCCTTTGCTCTGCCTGATGCAGGTGGCTGAAGGGCCAACAGGAGGACAAGCAAGACACAGATGTCCACTACCACTCGCTGACTGGTGAGGGCAACTTCAACTGGCGCTTCATCTTTCCTTTCGACTACCTTGCGGCCGAGGAAAAGATTGTCATCTCAAAGAAAGAGTCCATGTTCTCCTGGGACGAGACCGAGTACAAGATTCCGGCCCGACTCACGCTCCAGGTGTGGGATGCCGACCACTTTTCCGCCGATGACTTCCTCGGTGCGTCATATGTTTATTTGTTCCTTCCTTCTAGATCCTGGCTTTCTCTTGGAACGAAAACCAAAATGGTTCACAAAATAAGTTAAAACCGAATACAGTTACTCAGTCCTCCACATTTGTGGGTTTCACTTTTGCAGATTTGATTAATTGCGGATTTGATTAGGGATCTCTAGGTTCTTGTAAGTAGGTCTGTGGTCAATTTCTGCCAGAAGTAGAGTACAGAATTGCTCTGGAGGATCTAGAGCAGTGTTCCTCAAACTGTGCTCCTCCAGATGTTCTGGACTTTGGCTCCAAGAAATCCCAGCCAGTTTACCAGCTGTTAGGAATTGTGGGAGCTGAAGTCCAAAACACCATTTGAGAAATTCTGATCTAGAGATCCTTAGATAAATTTTCTTTCTGATCAAAAAGCATATTGGTTTATTTCATGTTTGAGGGGGCCCTGTGCAAATTTGTAGGGCAGAATGTGTGTGTATCTATGTTCATGAATGCTCAGGTCCCTTGGAGTAGTAAAATAGCAATCCATAATGAAAATGGCAATATTAAGCTTTGATTTTGGGATTTGTAAACATATTTTCAAGCCATGGATGGTGGAATCTGTGGGTGCAGAAACTGTAGATGCAGAAGGCCAATGGGCATAGAGACCTCTCATTCCTAGGGTTGCTGCAAGTCAAAATGAACTAGATTGCAATTAGCAATAACTATGAATGAGAGACCTCCGTAACGTGCTGTTACTAGCAATCCTGTTGATATCTTGCAAAACCAAAGCGGCTTCCTTGGTTGAGCCTCTCCATTTGGACAGTGGTCTTCCCCTTTTCTTCCTAGCACACCAAGCATTCCATTGTTGAAGGCTTTCATGGCCAGAATCACTTGGTTTTTATAGGTTTTTCGTGTTGTATGACCATGTTCTAGAAGCATTCTCTCCTGACGATTTCACCTGCATCTATGGCAGGCATCCTCAGAGGTTGTGAGGTCTGTTGGAAACTAGGAAAATGGGCTTTATATATCTGTGGAAAGTCCAGGGTGGGAGAAAGAACTCTTGTCTGTTGGAGGTAGGTGTGAATGTTTCAATTGGCCACCTTGATTAGCAGAGAAGAAACAACCAGGAACCACCAATCAGCTCTCAACAAAGAATTTCCCCAGGCCATAACAAGTTACACCTAAAAACTGTCAGGCCATCAAATGCTAATGAAGGTGGCCTTTTGAAACATTCCAACCGACAAGAGTTCTATCTCCCACCCTGGACTTTCCACAGATATATAAACCCAATTTCCTAGTTTCCAAGAGACCTCACAACCTCTGAGGATGCCTGCCATAGATGCAGGCAAACATCAGGAGAGAATGCTTCTAGAACATGGCCATACAGCCTGAAAAACCTACAACAACCCATACTAAGCATTATTATCTTCTCAAGGAAGTCCTCTCTTCTCATGATATGGCCGAAGTATGACAATCTGGCAGATCCTGAAGTGTAAGCTGTGTCACTGAATATTGAAGTCAGGCTTGTCCATGCCATTGTATCCCTCATTCCTCTGCCTGGTTGTGAAAGATGGACAGTGAATGAAGCTAAGAAAGAGAATCAACTCCTCTGAAATCTGGTGTCTAGGAGTCAGCGATATCTGCAGGAGAGCTCTGCAGATATAGCTGACTCGTAGAAAGACCCACCAGTGGATCCTAGAAAAGGCTCCTTCAGCCATAGGACCTGCGCTAATGCTCCTTCCTCTTCCCATTCCCATAGGAGGCATTGAACTTGACCTGAACCGCTTCCCACGCGGCGCCAAGACAGCCAAGCAGTGCTCTATGGAGCTGGCAACCGGCGAAATTGAGGTGCCCATGGTCTCTATCTTTAAGCAGAAGAGGGTGAAGGGCTGGTGGCCTTTCCTTGCGCGAGACGAGAACGACGAGATGGAGATGACGGTAATGAGGCTGGGTATCATCTCAGTAGCTTTGCCATTGGTCCTGTTGAAAATAATTGGGTGTGCTATTTACTTGCTGTTTCACATATCCCCACAATACTCAGAGATGTCTTCTACATGGTGATGGGTGTCATACTGTAATGTCTCCACTTGCTTTTGGCCAACTTTTGCTATTCAATGGCAGGGCACCTTTGAGAGCTTGTTTGGATGATGAGTAACCTTTGGATGCCCTCTTGCAGGGTAAAGTGGAGGCCGAGTTGCACCTGCTGACCGCTGAGGAAGCTGAGAAAAGTCCGGCCGGGCTGGCTCGTAACGAGCCCGACCCATTGGAGAAACCCAAGTAAGCCTGGGGAAGGGATCGATGGGTGGGCGCAGGGAGATCTAGCAGGTCCCCAAAAACCCATTCCACACCGGGAGTGATAGATTCAGTTGGACGCCTCCCACAGAGCTCTGAACCAGGGGTTGCTTCTATTGTTTCCCTATCTCTGCTGACTCTGTTCAACTCTCCGTCTCTGTCTTCCCCGTTTCCTTGGCCTCTTCCTCTTCTTCTTCCTCCTCTTCTCCTCTTCGTGGCTTGCCCAGCCGCCCAGACACCAGCTTCATCTGGTTCCTGAACCCTCTCAAGTCCATCCGCTACTTTATCTGGCACACCTACCGTTGGCTGCTGCTGAAAATCCTCCTCCTGGTCCTCTTCCTCCTTATGGTCGGCCTCTTCTTGTACTCCATGCCGGGCTACATGGTCAAGAAGCTTCTCGGGGCTTGAGGAGGCCTGGCCTTTGGGCTTGCCTGGGGTACTCCTTTCTTTCCAGCTACTCTTCCCTATGTGGCATCACTATCAGCCCCAACGTGTCTGCCCATCTGCCCAGGGGAAAATGGGAGCGATGGGGAGGGGATGAGATTGGAAAGCAGGGAGACAGTGGGATACACATGCTCCTCTTAGCAGGAAGGTGAATGGGTTGACTGGCCAAACCCAAAGAGTGCCTCCCAACGGCTCCTCGTTCCTCCTCCTGGAGAGAAGTGACCAGCAATAAGAAAGCATCAAGTGGTGGCTATCTCTCTGACACAAAGCAAAACATTGTTGTGTGGGAGGTGCCACATTGTGATGTGTGCCTGTAGTGTTCAAGCCAAGGAATGAAAGAGTTAACTTCATGCTAACCGTTGTCCCCACTAATATCATTTTCACGAGAAAGAGAAATGTCTGGTTTTCTCCCTGTTGGGAGAAATCATAAGTTGTACTATCCATTTTTCAATGGTTTCCATCCATTTCAAGAGTTCTGCACATGTAACTGTTTCATATGAGTCACAATCCTATAATTAATCCCAACTGGAGTAGAGCCAGAAATTGACCATAGGTGTGCACTGGAGAATCTAAAGATTTCTAGAGAAGCATCCATTTAGGGGTCTCTAGGTCCTCCAGTGCGATTCTCTGGTCAATCTCCGGCAGAGGCTGACCATAAAGTCATTCTGGAGGACCTAGAGAGAGAATATTTCAATCAGATCTGTGAAGAATAAGTTCCGCCAAATTCAAACCTGCAAATGTGGCTCGACCATTGGATCAGTTGGGTTAACCTTCCTGCTGAGTCAACAACTGAGTCATGTTTCTATTCCACCAACGGTCTTCCAGTCATATGTTGCACTCTCTTGGAACAATTGTCAACCTTTGTATTCAGTGTGACATTTGATTTGCTGGATTGCCACCACAGCCTCCTGAGAGCATTGTTTCCATTGTATGAAAGAGTAAGAAACTGGCAGATATACAGTTAGTTGTACATTGTCTGCATTCACCAAAAAATAGTGGAATGCATTGCAACCAACTATATAGTCTTACAATTCACAAGCATTTTGTTGGACGTGCTCCTCCCCGTGTGTTTTGTCTGAAGGAACCAATTTTGGGTTCCCCAAGAAAATGAAAATTTCAAAGAGAATCATAGGATTGTACAACACAACAGCAAATATGTCATTGGCACATATTCCACAATTCTCATTATGGATTCAACTACTTTGAGATGCCCCATTTGGTCAAGGACAGGAAAACCTCCAACCCCTTTTTTTACAATCCAACCTTCAAATTTGCAGCTTTGACTTTGGCAAACCTGAGTATTCACAGATTTGACTCAAATGTTCCCTCTGGGGATCTCCAGGGCATTGACCTCAGAGTCATGTTTGAGGACCTAGAGCAGGCATGGGCCAACTTCGGCTCTCCTCCAAGTGTTTTTGGCTTCAACTCCCAAATTCCTAACAGCTGGGAGTTGAAGTCCAAAGCACCTGGAGGAGGGCTGAAGTTTGTCCATGCCTGACTTAGAGGTTTCAAGGAAGAACACTCCTCTAGAAATCTCTAGAGCAGTGGTTCTCAACCTATGGGTCCCCAGATGTTTAGGCCTTCAACTCCCAGAAAGCCTAACAGCTGGTAAACTGGCTGGGCTTTCTGGGAGTTATAGGCCAAAACACCTGAGGACCCACAGGTTGAGAACCACTGCTCTAGAGCCCCTAGTATGGTCCTGTTGTCAGCTTCTGGTGGAAGTTGTCCACAGAATTGTGCTAGAGGACTTAAAGATTCCTATGGAGGTGTTCTCTCGGGTTTAAATTACTTTATTTGAGTCCAAATCCTCCTCCTTTTATGGCAGTCCTGCGCCATTAATCCTAGGGAATGTGAAGGGCTGACTGCATTTTGTGAGTCCAGTGCTTAGCCATGTTGTCTCCTCCTCCTTCCTCCTCCTCAGTCGCCCGGACACATCCTTCATCTGGTTCCTGAACCCGCTCAAGTCGATCAGATACCTCATCTGCACCCGGTACAAGTGGCTGATCATCAAGATCGTTCTGGCCCTTCTGCTCATCATCATGGTGGGCCTATTCCTCTACTCCATGCCCGGCTACATGGTCAAGAAACTCCTGGGGGCCTGAGGAAGATGCTCCGTGGCCAGGCTCCTCCTCCATTTCTGAGCCGGACGGTCTTCATTGCTCTTCGTTTCACTTTTGTGGTTTCGTTGCTTTTCCTTTGGGGAGTATTACTATGATTACCTTTAGTATTATCCTGGTTTTAGTGGAGGCCAAGGTGTGGCTCAGGATTTGCTTTGCCTTGTATCTTGGGGGAGAGATGGTGGGTTCTGCCATCATCGGTTCCCTTAAGGTCTCCAGTCTATTGAAGCTGGGCTGAAGTTCCATAGTTTGAGGTGACCTTCTTATCTCTACTTTCTGGTGCCTCAAAGAGTGGAGGTGAGCTGGCCTTCCATTTTTTGTTTTTGTTTTCCTCTCTGTGTGAATTTGATGCCTCCAAAATTTCCTCTGTTTTGTGGTTTTTCTTTTGGAGCTGAGGCCTCCAAATGCTGCTCTGAGAGGAGCTGGAAAGGGCCTCCTGACCAGTCTAGGTGTGACGTTGGTCAGTGTCTCGTTATAGAATTGTTTTCTGTAAGGATAAAAACTACATATGGAGACCCCTAGGAAACAGGGGGAAGCCTGCTCCCATTTTCGGTGGCAGTAATAATGCAAAAGGGCTAGTTAGTTTGTCAGATGACAGGTTGACAGGATATGAACCAATCTGCCATTCTTTTTGCTGGAGTTTTTTCCCCCTCCCATTCCTTGTCCTGAATGCACTTAGATAACCTCCAAAATGCACTGCAACAAACAAACAAAGGAAAAGCACAACCTAACTTATATCCAATGGAAATCAACCAGCAAAAGTTTAAATATGAAAGTAAACAGACATGCAAAGTAAATATTAACCAACAAAAGCTAGAATATAGAAGTAAACAGACATGCAAAGTAAATATTGACCAACCAAAGTTAGAATATGAAAATAAATAGACATGCAAAGTAAATACTGACCAACGAAAGTTAGAATATGAAAATAAATAGGCATGCAAAGTAAATACTGACCAAACAAAGTTAGAATCTGGAAGTAAATAGACATGCAAAGTAAATACTGACAAAAAAAAAATAGAATATGAAAGTAAATAGACATGCAAAGTAAATACTGACCAACGAAAGTTAGAATATGAAAATAAATAGGCATGCAAAGTAAATACTGACCAACCAAAGTTAAAATCTGGAAGTAAATAGACATGCAAAGTAAATACTGACAAAAAAAATAGAATATGAAAGTAAATAGACATGCAAAGTAAATACTGACAAAAAAAATAGAATATGAAAGTAAATAGACATGCAAAGTAAATACTGACAAAAAAAATAGAATATGAAAGTAAATAGACATGCAAAGTAAATACTGACCAACCAAAGTTAGAATATGAAAGTAAATAGACATGCAAAGTAAATACTGACCAACTAAAGTTAGAATATGGAAGTAAATAGACATGCAAAGTAAATACTGACCCATCAGAGTTAGAATATGAAAGTAAATTCACATACTCAAGAAAAAAAGAGAAGCACAACCGAACTTGTATCCAATGAAAATCATCCAAAAAAGTTAGGATATGAAAGTCAATAAATTCATGCAACGTAAATATATATACAAAATTCGATATATGAATTTTTAAATCCATGTCTTGATATCTGCAAGCTCAAAAGTGCAATAGAAATGCTCCATATTATCACTGGGATACAGACATCTACGTAAGTGGACCTACTCCTGCAGTAAATAGAAATCCACAGTTCTACGTTGTCCTCTTCTAGCAAGGGACGTTGCTGTGGGAGCCAGTGACCGTTGGGCATTGCATGCTGATGCGCATGTGGCCTTTCCCAAGAAAAGCACAGAAACCTTCCAGAGATGGCACATATTTCTATTACAAGCATGGGCACCTATCTCTAATGCAAGCAATACGAACAAAAGAGTAAGGAAAAAGAGACTCCATTTTGCCTTGGCACCACGAAGCACAATGTACAACCCGGTTCAGGGTAGACAGTTCCTTAGGGACCAAATTTGGGGTGGCACTCCTGTTTGCAGCCTGTGGCAGAGTGGGAAGTGAAGTCAGGTGGCAGAGGAAGCAACTCTGCTATTCCTAAACCATTGTGTTCCTATCCCATAACCCATGCTTTTGTTTTGGTTTTTTGCCCCATGGAAACTTCTTTTCTTGCCCCATCAGAAGGTCCACCATAAGAGAGTACTATCCTAAGCATGTAGCATCCATGTTGTCTTAGTCAAGCTTATGCCTTAACAAGGCAGGGGAGTTGTGGGGTTCTGATAGGACAGGTACGCAGTCAGTTTCTTGGACACTGGAGGCTCTGGAAGAGCCCCATCTCTTTGGAAAAGTGACTGGTGAGGAAACCATTTGAGACAGGTGGGAAGAAATGGCTAGTCATGTCAAAGTCATGGAAGGCTTTCATGGCCAGAATTTTTTATTTATTTATTTATTTATTTACTTTACTTTACTTGTATACCGCAGTTTCTCAGCCCAACAGGCGACTCAACGCGGTTTACAACAAGGATCACTGGGTTGTTGTGTGTTTTCCAGGCGGTATGGCCATGTCGCAACTCTAAAATTGTAACAGTAAATAAAAAACAGGGGAATTCCAGACAAGAAACAATCAGGGCCAGCTAATCACCTCCCAACAAAGGATTCCCCCAGGCAGGAAGTAGCCAGTCCTTGAAACTGCAAGGCCATTAAATGCGAATCAAGGTGGCCAATTGCTACATTCACACCTACCTCCAAAAGACAAGAGTTCTTTCTCCTTGATTGTTTCCTCTCTGTTGTTTTGCTGTTGTAACAGACCTCACTATTCTGAGGATGCTTGCCATAGATGCAGGTGAAATGTCAGGAGAGAATGCCTCTAGAACATGGCCCTATAGCCCGAAAAAACCTAGCTATTATGCGTCACATAGAATCATAGAATCTTAGAGTTGGAAGAGACCTCATGGGCCATCCAGTCCAACCCTGCCAAGAAGCAGGAATATTGCATTCAAAGCACCCCTGACAGATGGCCATCCAGCCTCTGTTTAAAAGCTTCCAAAGAAGGAGCCTCCACCACACTCCGGGGTAGAGAGTTCCACTGCTGAACGGCTCTCACAGTCAGGAAGTTCTTCCTCATGTTCAGATGGAATCTCCTTTCTTGTAGTTTGGGCAACCACCACAACTGTTAGCAACTTGCATGCAAATTGTGGAGGAAAATTTGGTCTCTATAGCAAAGTGCAGTGTAGCCAGTGCTAGGCATTACCTTATGGTAGGAAATTAGAGAGAAACTATGAAGGAGGCTCTGCTAAAACTTAAAAAGCGTCAAAACTTGTTTTTTTCATCGCAAGCAGTGCATCTTGGATAAAAGAACAAATAGACCAAAAAAAAAGTTGGCAAACTTTGGTGGAAGAGGCCCTTGTGCTGTCTGCCATTGTCTGTTTGTGAGGCAGAGAAGCCTCATGGTGCTTCCTTCTCAAACAAAGGGGAATAATCATAGAATCATAGAATCAAAGAGTTGGAAGAGACCTTATGGGCCATCCAATCCAACCCCCTGTCAAGAAGCAGGAATATTGCATTCAAATCACCCCTAACAGATGGCCTCTGTTTAAAAGCTTCCAAAGAAGGAGCCTCCACCACATAAGGACACCCTCAAAACCTTTTGGAAGAAGAAGAGGGAAGTGGCCTCTCCATCCAGGCAGGAAGCAAAGCACCCCGACTTACATACATTTAGGAAACAGGTGAAACAAGGCAGCAAGTATGTACCGCAGAGTTTCCTCCTGTTCCCAATTCCTCCAATATACAAGTGTTGATGTTTTTTCACTTCTAAGAAGTTGATGGCCCCGTCAAAGGGGAACCGCGGGTCTTTTTGGTCCCATTCCGAAGGGCCTGTCTGCTCAGCAGGCACGGCTAAGGTCTCAGGGTTCTGCCAGGGACATGCAACCGCCCGGAGTTTGGGGAAGTTACTCTTTGGGATACAACTCTCAGAACCTCCTGGTTCATGGGAAATCCCAAGAGGAGTTGGAGCCCAGAAAGATCACTTCTGTCATCGTAGAGAAGCTCAGGAGGCAACTGCATCGTGCGAAGGTTCAGGAGGAGCCCTGGGATGGATGGAGATGCCAAGTGGCGGAGCTCCAGCGTGAAAAAGGCCCCAGAGAAACCAGCACCACTGTGCTCCTGTCCCTCCTCCTCCTCCTCTTCTCTCAAAACCCCGGCGCACGGGTAGGTTGTGTGTGTCATGCTGGCTTTGTCCCCCCACCTCCCCTTTTTTTCTTATCTGAAGTGTGTGTAAATGATAGATCCTATTTCTCTACTACTGTCGTGGGGAGGGCTTGGGTGGGGAAACCTTTCTCTGTGCACTGTTAACTGCAGGGTCTTTTGGGATTTGCTGTATGGACCAACAGGAAAAATAAATAAAATCTGTATGTTCTTTAATAAAAACAGATGACCAGAAAAGAAGCGTGTTCTGGATTACTTTGTGTGCATTATATGCTTAGTAACACATTTTTTTTTTGTTCTTGGGTTATAGATGTCACTTCCTAATTGGTTCTATTGAAAAAAACATGGAAAGGGTTTATTAAACTACAACAACTTTGTCTTTGTGGGAGGGACACCATTCTGCAACACATTTTGCGATAGTTAGAATCTGTAAGACTGTAGGACCTATATAGCAATATTAAATGATCACTCACAAGCCGATTTTGCTTTGAAATGGATATATTGCTTGTATCTCTGCAGCAAAGAAAGACACTACTGACTTTTTCCCACCACCACTTCCTTTTATACACCTTTCCTGCCCATCTCCCCCTCTTCTCAGTTTCCTTATTAGAGCTTGTTGCTTCACAAGTTCCAATACAAGGTTTCCCGCGCCCTCTGCTGGGTTCAAAATGTCACAGAGAGAAAATTGAGACAGCCAGGATGATTCAGTCAGGATGTCACGGAGGGAATTTGTGATGTCTTCATGCCGTCAGAAATTGACTCCTGACAGAATCATAGTATTGGAAGAGACCTCGTGGGCCATCCAGTCCAACCCCATTCTGCCAAGAAGCAGAAAAATCACATTCAGTGCACCCCTGACAGATGGCCATCCAGCTCCTATTTAAAAGCCTCCAAAGAAGGAGCCTCCACCACACTCCAGTTCAGAGAGTTCCACTGCTGAACGGCTCTCACAGTCAGGAAGTTCTTTCTCATGTTCAGGTGGGTTTGTTTAGTGGCTATTATGGTAGTGACATTCATAGAATCCTAGAGTTGGAAGAGACCTGATGGGCCATCCAGTCCAACCCCATTCTGCCAAGAAGCAGGAATATTGCATTCAAATCACCCCTGACAGATGGCCATCCAGCCTCTGTTTAAAAGCTTCCAAAGAAGGCGCCTCCACCACACTCCAGGGCAGAGAGTTCCACTGCTGAACGGCTCTCACAGTCAGGAAGTTCTTCCTCATGTTCAGATGGAATCTCCTCTCTTGTAGTTTGAAGCCATTAGTCTAGTACAGAGTTGGAAGAGACCTCATGGGCCATCCAGTCCAACCCCTGCCAAGAAGCAGGAATACTGCATTCAAAGCACCCCTGACAGATGGCCATCCAGCCTCTGTTTAAAAGCTTCCAAAGAAGGAGCCTCCACCACACTCCAGGGCAGAGAGTTCCACTGCTGAACGCTCTCACAGTCAGGAAGTTCTTCCTCATGTTCAGATGGAATCTCCTCTCTTGTAGTTTGAAGCCATTGTTCCGCGTCCTAGTCTCCAAGGAAGCAGAAAACAAGCTTGCTCCCTCCTCCTTGTGGCTTCCTCTCACATATTTATACATGGCTATCATGTCTCCTCTCAGCCTTCTCTTCTTCAGGCTAAACATGCCCATCTCCTTAAGCCGCTCCTCATAGGGCTTGTTCTCCAGACCCTTGATCATTTTAGTCTCCCTCCTCTGGACAAATTCCAGCTTGTCAATTCTTTGGCGATTTTGGCTCCAGTCATCTCTCATTTCAGATAAACGTGAAACATAATGAGCAGCTCAGAAAGAACATCCTTATTATTCCCCCAGAGGTCTGTGATGGCCTCCCTCCCCGCTCTCCATCCCACC